TCTCAACACTCAATTGAAGGGGACAAATAAGCTGGTAGCAGGGCCTGAGTGAGGGAAGATATCAGCGTCTTAAGGGCCTAACTGGCTCCTACTTCTTCAGTTGACTGCCTGTTCTCCTCAAGTGGGTTCAGGGAAGCAGCAGGAAACAGGAAGCTCCCTGAGAAGCTGGTGTTAATCAGTCCAGGGGTGCTAGAGAGGTACATAAGAGGCTCCTCCTCCTCTCTCTCCCTGCAGCTCCTGCTGCTTTCTGTTCTTCCCTCTCACCTTTTCTCCTGCCTGCCTGTTATGTCTCTTGTGCCCTCCTTCCTCCAGTACAGCACTCCACCATCTCTGTGCATCTAGAGCAGAGAGAATACATATGTACCAGCAGCAGACACAATTTTCTACACTCTGGGTCCTAGTGGCGCCCCCCCACAGTCTGGCACCTGAGGCGGCTGCCTCAGTTCGCCTCATGGTAAGGCCAGCCCTGGATGTGTGACACAGAAGTAGCAGTCACCTCCTTTCTGGAACTTCTGGGAACAAAATGCTTTATTCTGGGGGCTGGGTTTGCTTGAGCACAGTGTTCATTGCTGCTGCTGCTAACTTCGTGGCTCATGCCTCACCAGTGCATTTTGCATGGGGCTGTTACCTGGTGCCCTTTCAAGTGGATAACTCAGGTCACGGTGCATGCAACTTTGATTCTATTTGCTGTGCTCTGCCGCTTTAAATGTAAGAATTCTGCCTCCCGACAAGGGGCCAAGGCTGTGGCAAGGTTTAAGCTATGGAAGCTTAAAGGGAAGCCATGCTAGTTTACATCTCATAGGATGAAATTCACTGTGGTGCTGAGGGCCAGAAGGAGGGTTATGCACCACAGCAGCCTTGTACGGGCTCTGAGCCACAGTGGATTTCACCTAGGGAGATGCTGGACCTACCGCTCCACCTTGCTGCAGTCATGTACAGCTGTGCTAAGTCACACGGGACAGACACAAGCGAGGGCACAAGATAGAGATTCAGATGCTTGAGCACTGGAGTCCGAAATCTTAAGCTAACTTGTGTGCACATCCTTTGCCAGTGCCTGGAAAATAGAATTGCCTTTGGGATGGTAATATCTAGCTCTTTATATATAGGTCTTAATCCGTAGGTCCTGGTAAAGCACCAGCTGGCACAGCTGTGAATGTCAGTAAAACGAACCCTTGGAGTATGCAGAGCCATCTGAGGCAGCCGAGCACCCTGTAAATGTATCTGGTGTTAGAATGATGTCTCGGGACAGGGCCATGCCGATATGAATTGCACATTTGGATGCTGGCAGGAAGCCCAGGAGCAGAGGGAAAGAATGGGGCTGACCGCGTAGGAATGAAGGAGGAGATGGAACACCAGGGGTACTTCCTGCTACCGATAGCGTGGCAGAGCTGATCACTTTACTAAAACCGCCGCACCCATGTCAATGGCATTACGTGGCACAAAGCCAGAGGAGAGAGACAGCCTCCCTCTTGCTACATTTAATGTTCAATTTATGTACAGAGAGAAACTCATCTCACCTCGCTCGCTCTGAGTCCATGACATAGCTCTGGGAACCAGGTGTAGGGGGCTGATTCCAAGTACCCAGGGTCGGTCAGACTGAGATCTGACAGTGCTGGCACAAGTCTCATAGACCAAGCTCAGCGCCAGCATTCCTGGCTGCAGCAACACTGACGCTGGGTTCCAAGACTCCTGTCCATGTACGTGGTAGCTGTCCAAAGGGCAGCTGTGGAACGAATGGAGAGATCAGCCTCGCCGAGGTGCAGTGAACCAGGGTAAATGGGCTGTAAGGAGAATGAAGGGGATTCAGAGCAGCATTTGCATGCGTCAGACAAACCCCTAGGATGTGTCTCGCCGGAAAGCTATTTAGCTGCTGCAGTTCAGGGTCACTGGGAAACGTGGCTCCAGCCACTGGCATCAACCCAAACACCTGAGCCCTCTGAACCAGCCTAGCAGGGCGTGAAATGAAATCCAGATGCATCACTGGCCCAGTTTTACAGCACTCTGCCCTTTGCTTTAGCTGAAAGGGTTCGAAGAGAGGAACATCCCTCTGCACCCAAGCAGAGTGCTCAGCGTCCAGCCCTGAGCAGAACAGCTCAGCTGGGGACAGGCTGCACTGGAGCAGGAGTAATGGACTCCCACACTGAGAAGCCTCATACTACTGAAACATGGGTGCTAGGACCAATTCTCCTCATTATTTGGGTGCCCCCTGCTGGATTTTTCCATACCAGAGCCCCCGTCCTATTTAGCAGCATGGGAAGGGCAGGCGGGACATAAACCCCCAGTATATCTTTACAACCCCTAGCTTAGGGCTACTGTTCCAGGCTATGTTCAGACTCCGGCAGGCAGCACTGGCCTCGGTTTCTATTCCGGGCATTCGCCCTGCAATGAGAAATATAGGTTTTAAATGAAATGAAGGTGGTCTAAACCCTGGTGCCGAAGGGGCTTCCCCCAGGCCGCCTCTTGCTGCACTGCAGCACTCTCTGTGCTTGTGCTGCATAGGTTGGCAGAGAGGGGTGACAGACTGGAGTAACAGCCATGGAGCTGCAGGGTCTATCCCTCTAACCTTAACCTGCTTTCCTCCACCAAAGCCATGGACTCGGGGCTTTCCATTCACCCTCACACTAGTGCAGCTGCATCAGCAGTGACTAATGGGCTCCAATTTGGAACAAGGGAGACAAGGCCATGGAGAGCAAGAGTACACGTGACTGATGCTCCTCTTCCCCGCCCTGCACAGAAGGCAGGGAGGGAGGTTTCCCTTCCTCTTACCTGAGATGACATTCTCTTCCCTTTATTGCGTTGGCGAGCAGCACCGTCATGGTCAGCTTCCTGAAATCAAAACACTTCGGTTTAGGTCTACACTGCAACCAGAGGTGACACTCAGCACTTGTAGACGTACCCAAGCCAGCTTTGACCTAGCTGGCTCAAAAAACTCCTGTGGAACCCTGGGTATGTACTCAAGTGGCAAGCCCATGTGGTCATGGCTTCACTGCTACTATTATTTGAGCTAGGTAGGTCAACGCTAGCTCAGGTATGTCTGCATGTGTTGCACTCACACCTCAGGTATGTCTACACATGCTTCAATTACACCTTGCAGTGCAGAGGTACTCCGAGCTGTGGAGCGATCCAGTTGGTCGATCCTTCCCAGGAGTTTCATAGCATGGAGACACATTTCTCCGATTATTTTCCAAGAGCCGTACGACAGCTTGGAAAGGATCTCAGCATGGGGCAGCGCCAGGAGGATTCCATCTCTTTCATACGGATCTGAATTGTACCCTGGGGCCTGATGCTGAACTTAACATCAGTGGGAGACGTGGGTGCTGGACCCTTTGGGAAGTGAGGCTCCCTCACTGCAGAAAACAGCACGCTCTATTGGTCAGGAGGAAAGGCCACTGGCATTGACCGTCAGAATGTCTTTCCTCTCATTGGAGAATCCTTTTCAAACAGAGATGGGTGCCTAGTGCAACTGTTTCCCTAATTATTCCCAAAGTCTTCTGAGTTGTGTTGCAATTCCTAGAGTAAGGCAATGGGTGATATGTAACTGGCAATAACACGGAACACTTGCCTGTAGAATTGAGATTAGATAAATAAATACAGAAAGTGTCACAGGGGTAGCAATGGTAGCAGAACCTATTTGGCTTAGGAAAATCCCTTGTTTATCTTTCCCACCCCGAAATAAGGCAAGAAGCCAGAGTTAACTTCTTATTTAATGTGTATATTCATAAAGGTACATTTGATTCTTTGTCACACTACTTGTAGCTACATCCAGCACAATACGCAGGAGAACAACACTGTTACAGGTACCATAGAATATGGCATGACAGACAATAAAAATGGAACGAAGGCACATTTTCCACATTAAAGGCAGACACAAGTGACAAACGAAAATCCATTTATATAAAGTAGATTTATCTTAGTCATTTAGGACCCAATCCAACTTCCATTGAAGTCAGTGGGAATCTGAGCACGTCCTGACAAGCCTTTCCAATGTGGGACTACTGAAATCTTATGTTGCACCGCTGAACAGATATCACCTTTAGTATTGGTGTTGTAATCAACACTGAGCTTGACCTGTCTCAGTGCATTTGGTAAGTTTGGATAGCAGATCACACAGCAAAGATGTGAACAGCAAGATGCTGAAAGAGTTTTATTGTAACAGGCAATTAATAATGCTTCCCCTGGAAAATATATTCAGTTGTTTTCTTATGCAGAGAAAACACAGCAGTCATTTGTGTTAATAGCTTGCCGGGGCTTGGCTCTCCGGAAGACTTTCAGCATGTAACACAAAGGCAGAGCCATTCTGGTTGAGCCAAGCTGACATCCAGCTGATCTTGCTACGGGCAGCATTGCATTTAGAAGCCCCTTTCCCTTCCAGGAAAGAACACTCAACTGGGGACACTTGCTTTCTAAACTACTGTGATACCAGGATACCCTGCTGTTGCATCAAATGAGTGGTGAATCACATACCACCTCTTGTTTGTTAAGGAATCAGAACACGAACAGGCCCTACAGAACTTGAACAAGTGAAACCAAATGCAATATCAGGGTCTTGCAAAACATCACGATTAGACTTATTTATGAACTGCATGCCTTCAGCACTGGAGTGTGGGCACTCAGTCTGGACTACAAAATAGTGTCTCAGACTAATCTGAAGAAGTCTTTATTGTTCACCAGGAATCCAGGTGGCAGGTTAGTTTTGGATGCCAAGTGCAATATGTCCTATTAAGGAAGGCAGGAGGCCTTTCATCCTCATATGCCAGCATGTAAAAATGTAATCAGGGTTTGGAAATACACTATGTGAGCAGCAAGGAAGGCAGGGGAGGAGATCATTGGTGGGTCACTAAAAGGAGCAATGAGGCCCAAATCCTCAAAAGTATTTAGGCTCCTAACTTTCTTTGAGCTAGGAGCCTAAACACCTCTGACAATCTGCACTTGAGTGTCTAGTTGACGCCTGGGTGAAGATCTGTTCCAGAGACTCAAACTAGAGTGGGCTGGCAGCAGAATTGTTGGAGTTAGGAAAGTGATCTCTGAGCAGCTGATGAGAGCTATCTGCTTACAGCCAATAACTAAAGACTGAGAAGAAAAGCAACAGATCAGCTTCTAGAATTTGGAGCTCAACTAGGAGGATAATTTTTTATCATCAGTATGTAAGATGACCATGGAAATAAAAGAGCCCAGAGCTCTGAGACGCAAAAAGCAGAAATGTCATTTTAAAAGCACCACGCATCCTCCTCACGCCTTTCCAGGTGCTGCCATTTGTGGCAGGATACGATTCGCTTTGAGACGTCTCCTAGAAATTAGTGTGAACAAGTCAGTACCTGCGTGAGCAAAGAAAATAAAAAGAGAATTTTAGAATAAATCTCCCGCTGCCGTCAGTTGACACCTTTTGTTTTCATTCCAGTATCTGTCAACATGGAATCCAGGGGTCTAATCCTAACAAATTACTAGGGATAAAAAGAGCTTGCTGCTCTGCTAAGAAATGAGGAAGAGTGGCAGCTCTATCGGATTCAGTAAGAGCAGTGGCAGTTGGGAAGTTTTGGGGCTGTCAATTCAGCATCTTCTGCAGGTGCTGGGCCTGATTCTCCAGTGCCCTGCACTGTATGCAATCATTTCCCCCTGCACCAAACGAGTGCAGCGTGGATGTAAACATTACCATGCTGATTGGTTACACTCCTTGGCCAAGGTACTACAAAGATACAGCTTCAGCTTCTTGGGAGGCAATCGCTTGTCTGCCCTTCCCATAAATCTAGATTAGTTAGTACATTGGGTCATTTTTCTGGGAGAGCCCAGCTTCAGAACCTGGACAGCTCATATGCAAGAGAGCGTTCACAGCATCCAGGAAGATTTCACTGCCTGCCAGCAAGCAGTAAGCCATACTTCAGATGGACCCAGCATCCTCAACTTCCATTATACTTCATCACTTAGGAACCAGAGTAGTCCCCAAGCTACCAAACTAGAGTTCAGACCTTTTACCTGACTTGAGCTAACTGACAAGTTGAACAACTTGGAATTTATTACCTCTAAGGACTAGAGAGACGAAGAGCATGGCTACACTTGCAGATGTAGAGCGCTTTGAGTTAAACCAGCCTTCGTAGAGCGCAGTAGGGAAAACGCTGTAGTCTGTCCACACTGACAGCTGACAGCGCACTGGCGTGGCCACATTTGCAGCACTTGCAGTGGCACTGAAGTGGTGCATTATGGGCAGCTATCCCAGCATGCAAGTGACTTCAACATGCTTTTCAAATGGGAGGGGTGGGGTGGAGTGTGACAGGGAGTATGTGGGGGGGGAGAGAGTGGGGTTTTGGGGGGCTGAGAGCATGTCAGCATGCTGTCTTGTAAGTTCAGACAGCAACAGATCCCTCCTCCCCCCCGCCTCACTCTCTCACACACACAGCATTCCACAGTAACGGCTTGCATGCCGGCTGTCAGAAACGGAGCTTTGAAAGGGCATTTCCGCATTCCTACAGGAGATCAAAACAATGACAAGAGTGGCCACTTGATTTAAGGGGATTATGGGACATTTCCGGAGGCCGATCAGAGCACAGTAACGCAATACCTCGTTCACACTGACGCCCGGGCGTTGTAGCCAAGGCACAGCAAATGTTATTCCTCTCGCCGAGGTGGAGTACCAGCAGCGCTGTAGCCACGGAGTCAGAGCGCTCTACGTGCCATGCCAGTGTGGACGGGGAGTGAGCTAGTGCGCCCGGGGCTGCTTTATTGTGCTGTAACTCGCAAGTGTAGCCAAACCCTAAGCCCTTTCCTCGAACCGTGCAGTTTACCCCCATGGGTCTCTCTGGCATTGCGTCTTATATAATCATTTGCCTCTGCAAAGTGGGTATAAAATCATATCCCCCACTATGAGCGAGTGGAGAACTGAGTTGCCAGCGTTTTACGCTCATTTTGCACTGGCGAAAATGATTCTCTACAAGGAACAAATCTCTTCAATCCCTGAAAGAAAGCCCTGTGGCTTTAAAGCAGGGGTGAGCAAACTTTCAGGCCCAAGGGCCATATCTGGGTATGGAAATTGTATAGCAGGCCATGAATGCTCACAAAATTGGGGGTAGGGGTGTAGGAGGGGGTGAGAACTCTGGCTGGGGGTGCGGGCTCTGGGATGGGACCAGAAATGAGGGGTTCAGAGGGCGGGAGGGGGATCACGGCTGGGGCAGGGGGTTGGGGTGTGTGTGTCGGGGTGAGGTCTCAGGCTGGAGGTCCGGGCTCTGGGGTGGGGCTGGGGATGAGGGATTTGGGGTGTAGGAGGGTGATCCAGGCTGGGACCAAGGGGTTCAGAAGGCGGGAGGGGGATCAGGGCTGGGGCCAGGGGTTGGGGCATGGGGCGGGTGAGGGCTTTCGCTGGAGGTGCAGGCTCTGGGGTTGAGCTGCGGATGAGGGGTTTGGGGTGCAGGAGGGTGTTCTGGGCTGGTATCAAGCGATTCGGAGGGCAGGAGGGGGATCAGGGCTGGAGCCAGGGCAGGAGGTTGGGCCACGGGAGGGGCTCAGGGATGCAGGCTCTGGGCGGCGCTTACCTCAAGCAGCTCCCGGAAGCAGCGGCATGTCCCCCCTCTGGCTCCTACGCAGAGGTGCGGCCAGGCAGCTCTGCACACCGCCCCATCCGCAGGCGCCGCCCCTGCAGCTCCCACTGGCTGCAGTTCCTGGCCAATGGGAGCTGCGGGGGCAGCACGCAGAGCCCCCTGGCCGTGCCTCTGCATAGGAGCCAGAGGGTAGACATGCCGCTGTTTCCGGGAGCCACATGGAGCCACAGCACGCGCGTGTGAAGCGGCTCCCGACCCCGCTCCTCGTCTGAAGCGGATTAAATCAGCTGGTGAGACAGATGTGGTCCGCGGGCCATAGTTTGCCCACCCGTGCTTTAAAGTTTAGTTTGACATTGTAATTCCAGATAGTCCTCACTTCCAGACAGCCACATTTCTTATTCCATTTTCTCTGCAAAGGAAGATGCCAGTCATTGCTAGTTTGGATGTTGTTCTACATCACTCTAGCCTTTTCGTCAGGCATCTCAAATTCCTTTTGCTATCCCAAGGGCTCTGAATCCCTCACACCATTCAGTAACGCCTGACAATCACAAACTGAAGAAGAATAAGGAAACCTATCAAAGGAAGTAGACAATTTGCTGAGAGAGAAAGGATGGCCTTGTTGGTGAGCGTACTAGCTTAGGATTTGGGAAATCTTGGTTCAGTTCCTAGCTCTGCTATAAACTTCCCATGTCATTTTGGGTAAATTACATTCTATGCCACAGTCCCAGGGAATAATAGCTTGGCCTGCTAAACCCAGGGTTGTGAGTTCAATCCTTGAGGGGGCCACTTAGGGATCTGGGGCAAAATCAGTACTTGGTCCTGCTAGTGAAGGCAGGGGGCTGGACTCGATGACCTTTCAAGGTCCCTTCCAGTTCTATGAGATAAGTATATCTCCATATTAAAAAATAATCCTTGCTCTCTCATCCCCTTGGGTCTGTCTTTTTGATTTAGCTTCAGGGATCGGCAACCTTTGGCACGCGGCCTGCCAGGGTAAGCCCCCTGGCAGGCCGGGCAGTTTGTTTACCTGCCGCGTTCACAGGTTCGGCAGATCACAGCTCCCACTGGCTGTGGTTCGCCGCTCCAGGCCAATGGGGGCTGCCGGAAGAGGCGCGGTCTGAGGGATGTGCTGGCCACCACTTCCTGCAGCCCTCATTGGCCTGGAGGGCGAACCGCGGCCAGTGGGAGCTGCGATCAGCCGAACCTGCGGACGCGGCAGGTAAACAAACTGGCCCGGCCCGCCAGGGGGCTTACCCTGGCAGGCCGCGTGCCAAAGGTTGCTGATCCCTGACTCAGCTGATCAGGACAAGCACTTTCATTGTGTCTGTACAGCACCTACCACAATGGGACCCCTGATCTCAGTTGGGGCTTCTAGTATAAATAATACATAAACTGGTACAGCTTGGAGCTTTTCAGCAAACAAGGGGTCAAAACAAGACAATTCTGCTGGGGTTTAATAAGTTTTTAAAAAATTACCATCTGGAAATTAAAGATGGTGCTAGCATATCCTTGGATCTAATCCAGAATGACCAAGTGAGACAGAAACCCAGGGCCTAGTGTTCCCTTTTCAATGCTGAAGGTATAAATAGAAGCATCAATAACCACTGTCAAATGGAACCCTTCCTCTCTCTTAGACAGATGCATTTAAGCACTGGAGATGCTGATTAAATCCTCTCTTGTATGTTAGTCAATAAAGTGAGCTTACATTGCTGAGGTTTGCCGCCTCTGCTTTCAAGTTGCTTTTATTTTATTTTGTTAGCAATCTCTTTCAGAAGGCCTTTCAGATCATTAAGCTAAAAACAAAAACAAATCAAGATTCATGTTAGTTCGAAGTCAGCCTAGCTTATTCCAAGGCATTTTTGCAGCTTGGATAACAGCCAGAGAGATGTATGAGGCAAATAAGCAGTAAGTCCTTTAAAATGCCTGGGAATGGCTGTAAAACAGTAACAATAACTCCCATGGCACCTCCAAGTTAAGCTCCTGTTTCTTTGGTTCCCCTCTGAATGCCAGCTGTTAGTGCCTGAGCATTAGCCAACTGCTATTTGCATTTACCAGACAAACTCAGCTGTGTGGGTAAACAATGCAGTGCTTATAGTTATTTGTCACAGCGAAATAGCCCTAGTGAGCAATAGAAGTGCCTCTTCAAACATTGCCCCAGTACAGTCCATTTGGAAGGACAACCACCATTACAATGTTCATCAATGTAATAAATGTAGTGAGTCCTAATGCATACATATTTCACGCATTTAACAAGCAGGCATCATGAAACCAACTGACTCCAAATTACTCTGAATCGGCCTTGGCTCCTGAGACAGGATCACAGATCTGGTCATTGGAGTTTTGTGGAAACCAGTCTACTGTAAAGACTGTTATGTTTTTACACTTGTTTCCTCTAATGCTTCTTTCACTCAGATGCACACACAGCAAACTAATACCCTTACCCTCACTGAGACATCACTTACTTCCTGGGAAATCAGTGGGACTACTCATGGATAAGGTGCTGGAGGGGGATCAGAATCTTGCTTGATGGAATTAACTGGACAGGTGACAGCGCACACTGCCGCATGAAGTTTCTGCCTTCAAAGTGTATTTACAATGGGGGCGACACCTTGTTCAGTTACTATGCAACACTGAGATTCCCTTCTGCTTTAGAACTCTCTAGTGGTTTTCTAGTAATCAAGCAATGGGTCTGACAGGTACATTGCTCTGAGGCAGTTCCTGAAATTGAAGCACGTTTAAGGCACTATTTAGAAATTAAATCCTACCTAATAAAGCTCTTAGAAGCAGCAGCACAGCGTGGCTTCTCTCCACATTTGCAGAGCTTAGAAAATATCTGCTCCTTCATTCTTCAACACAACAAGATGCTTCCGAGCATCTAAGTGACCTCATGTGGCTGTTGTAACCTTATCAGATATCTGTGCCACACACAAAGTTTTCTGCTTAAGGCACAGTGCCTCTACTCTGCCCCCAATACAGGACAGTACCTTAGAAGTACAGCCCTAAGAAAATTATATCTGACTGCAGTTAAGTGTAAACAGTGCATAAATAAAGGGGTACAGTTTCTATATATGCCACTCACTGTCATATCACAGACACATATTTCCCAGACCAATCAAAAACAAAGTACCTTCATATCCAGTTGTCTAAATCGATGTGCCATCCTGTGAAGAGATGACAAATACTAAAATGAGTCTTGTGGGACTAAAAATTAAACTAGCGATTGGCACCTACTCCTTGATTCAGTGTCAAACTGTGCAGCAGAACATTACATACAATTAATTTAAAGCAGGACACCTAGTCACATAGGAGCACCCAAAATGTGGATCAAGGAAAACTATGGCTCTTGGATCCTAGAATGCTCTTCTACTCTGAATGCACATAGTTGAAGGTTAATGACAAGGCTGATATTGACTGCAGGTGTTATTGCCTGGGAACTCAAATAGTTCCCATTCATCTTTCCAGGATGAGACAAGTCATTATGGTTGTGTGCACCTGGCTTTGATCACATCTAATGTAACTCTGTACAAATTACTGTCAGTTTTGCTCTTGGCAAGTTTCTTACCTGACCCTTTTTGGCTCAAAATTTGGCCACCCCAATTTGAATACATCTAGCTTGTGACTTAATGCTGAGCAGCATATGGCAAGTCTTAATTATGCATTTAAGGATGGAATGTCCACAACAGGAAAGCTGCATGCCCTAGCACTAGTGAAACCCTCCACCCAAAGTTACCAGCTTTTCAATGCCAAAAATGGAAATGGAGAACACCTAGATACTATTGGAGGGTTGCTTTTTATATTCAGTAGCATGTTCAATAAAGTTGCATGTGTGGTCTCCATGGGAGTTAGGTACCTAAATACCTTTAAAAATCTGCCCGTCTGCCTTTTGATCACTTTGTTCTCTGATTCTGGTCTGTATGCTTTTTTTTTTTCTTGGCAGTTTGTCTGACTTAGTTGTTGCTGTAAAAATGCTGAGGTGATTCCTGAAAGAACTCTGAGGCTGATCAGCCAAGTGTCAGGATTTGACAAAGAATTTGTGAAGCTACCTGTAGCCTTAGGACATATTTAACCTTTCAAGTCCCAACAAAGAATTGGAGACCCCATTTACTACTTGTACTTAGTAAAGATTTCTGGTCAGCTTGGAATCCCCGCAATCTATGTATAACCTTATTTCTCACGGTTACATGTCTGGTATGCGCCATTAATCTATGTAAAAATGATTGCTAGCTCTTACATAGCACTTTTAATCAATGAATCTCAAAGCACTTTGAAAAAGGAGGAAAGCATGAGTCTTTGGGTTAAGTTTAGAGGTGAGAGCAACAAGGGTGATGTCGTGATGGGCGTCTGCTATAGACCACAAGAACAGGAGGATGAGGTAGACGAGGCTTTCTTCGGACAACTAACAGAAGTTTCCAGATCACAGGCCCTGGTTCTCATGGGGGACTTCAATCACCCTGACATCAGCTGGGAGAGCAATACAGCAGTGCACAGACAAGTTTTGGAGAGTGTTGGGGACAACTTCCTGGTGCAAGTGCTGGAGGAACCAATTAGGGGTCATGTTCCTCTTGACCTGCTGCTCACAAAGAGGGAAGAATTGGTAGGAGAAGTAGAAGTGGGTGTCAACCTGGGCAGCAGACATTGACTCCCTCAGGGAACTGATAGGCAGGATCCCTTGGGAGGCTAATATGAGGAGGAAAGGAGTCCAGGATTGCTGGCTGTATTTTAAAGGAGCCTTATTGAGGGTGCAGGAACAAACCATCCTGATGTGCAAAAAGAATAGCAAATATGGCCAGTGACCAGCTTGGCTTAACAGAGAAATCTTCGGTGAGCTTAAACACAAAAAGGAAGCTTACAAGAAGTGGAAACTTGGACAGATGACTAGGGAGGAGTATAAAAATATTGCTCGAGAATGCAGGGTTGTAATCAGGAAGGCCAAAGCACAATTGGAGTTGCAGCTAGCAAGGGATATGAAGGGTAACAAGATGGGTTTCTCCAGGTAACTTAGCAACAAGGAGAAGGTCAAAGAAAGTGTGAGACCCTTACTGAATGGGGGAGGCAACCTAGTGATAGATTATATGGAAAAAGCTGAAGTACTCAATGCTTTGTCTCGGTCTTCACAGACAAGGTCAGCTCCCACACTGATGCACTGGGAAGCACAATATGGGGAGGCGGTGAGCAGCCCTCAGTGGTGAAAGAACAGGTTAAGGACTATTTAGAAAAGCTGGACATGCACAAGTCCATGGGGCCGGATGCAATGCATCCAAGGGTGCTGAGGGAGTTGGCTGATGTGATTGCAGAGCCACTGGCTGTTATTTGTGAAAACTCATGGCAATTGGGGGAAGTTCCAGACAACTGGAAAAAGGCAAATATAGTGCCCATCTTTAAAAAAGGGAAGAAGGAGAATCCGGGGAACTACAGACTGGTCAGCCTCACCTTAATCCCTGGAAAAATCAAGGAGCAGGTCCTCAAGGAATACATTTTGAAGCACTTGGAGGAGAGGAAGGTGATCAGGAACAGTCAACATGGATTCACCAAGGACAAGTCATGCCTGATCAACCTGATTGCCTTCTATGATGAGATAACTGGCTCTGTGGATATGGGGAAAGCGGTGGACATGATATACCTTGACTTTGGCAAAGATTTTGATACAGTCTCCACAGTATTCTTGCCAGCAAGTCAAAAAAGTATGGATTCTATAAGGTGGATAAAAAGCTGGTTAGATCATCGGGCTCAATGGATAATGATCAACAGCTCGATGTCTAGTTGGCAGCCGGTATCAAGCGGAGTGCCCCAGGGGTCGGTCATGGGACTGGTTTGGTTCAACATCTTCATTAATGATCTGGATGATGGGATGGATTGCACCCTCAGCAAGTTCGCGGACGACACTAAGCTGGGGGGAGAGGTAGATACACTGGAAGGTAGGGATAGGGTCCAGAGTGAGCTAGACAAATTGGAGGATTGGGCCAAAAGAAATCTGATGAGGTTCAACAAGGACAAGTGCAGAGTCCTGCACTTAGGACGGAAGAATCCCATGCACTGCTACAGGCTGGGGACCGACTGGCTAAGCAGCAGTTCTGCAGAAAAGGACCTGGGGATTACAGTGAACGAGAAGCTGGATATGAGTCAACAGTGTGCCCTGGTTGCCAAGAAGACTAACAGCATATTGGGCTGCATTAGTAGGAGCATTTCCAGCAGATCGAGGGAAGTGATTATTTCCCTCTATTCGGCACTGGTGAGACCACATCTGGAGTACTGTATCCAGTTTTGGTCCCCCCACTACAGAAAGGATGTGGATAAATTGCAGAAAGTCCAACGGAGGGCAACGAAAATTATTAGGGGGCTGAGGCACATGACTTATGAGGTGAGGCTGAGGGAACTGGGCTTATTTAGTCTGCAGAAGAGAAGAGTGACGGGGGATTTGATAGCAGCCTTCAACTACTTGAAGGGGGATTCCAAAAAGGATGGAGCTCGGCTGTTCTCAGTGGTGGCCAATGACAAAACAAGGAGCAATGTTCTCAAGTTGCAGTGGGGGAGGTCTAGGTTGGATATTAGGAAAAACTATTTCACTAGGAGGGTGGTGAAGCACCTGAATGGGTTACCTAGGGAGGTGATGGAATCTCCATCCTTAGAGGTTTTTAAGGCCCGGCTTGACAAAGCCCTGGCTGGGATGATTTAGTTGGGGTTGGTCCTGCTTTGAGGTCTCTTCCAACCCTAATTTTCTATGATTCTATGATTATCCCCACCTGACAGATGGGAACATTGAGGCACAGAGAGGTGATTTGCCCAAGTTCACCCTAGCAAGCTAATGGAAGACATTTTTAGTATGTAATTGTACATAAATAAATCTATTCAGCACATATTGTCAAATTTGCAAAATTGTAATGAAAATTTAACAACCTAGGCAACCAACCTGCACTATGCTAATGGATTATAAAATCTCCAATATTTTACTTGAAGCAGAATGGATGAACTGTTTTAGGCTGATTTTATTAATATATTAGTGTATAAGCAGACTTTCTAAATGTAAAAAAAGGTTTTCTTTTTCTTATTAAAAATAAAAAGTTTGCAGAAGTGCAGTTTCGTCTAAGAGTCGAGCAGAGAGACAAAACAGACATACTCCTCTGATGAATCGTTTGCTTTGGAATTGATTTTGACGAGGTAATTTTCTTTCATGACTGCTTCCCATGCAAGCGTTTCATTGTCCTCATATTTTGAGCCTGAGAAATACAAAAAGGCATTAGACTAACTTAATTTGCCTCTACTCTTTTGAAATGTTAAAAAGCCTGACGGTGATTCTGTTCACCAGAGCTCACGGAATTCATTTCTCTGCATACAGAAAATTAGCAGCGATAATGTAAATAGAACATTAATGTATTTTATTGCCTGGTCAAGGCACGGGACAAGCTAACTGGGTTTGTATTAAAAAGAGGAATTGACTCACATTTCCACTCCAACCTCCGAATGGACACAATATTTGAGGTTTCGAAGCATTCAGCTTTGGGGAGGTTTTAAATGAAGTGTGAATTTTCCAGCTTCAGGCAAACATCAAACATGCGAGTGATGCTGTGTGACAATTTGGGGAACCTCACAATGTAATCATTCGGTGTCATCCTACGGGAGGGAGGTCACCTTGGTAACAAAGTCACCTCGGAGGAGTCTCTGGTCACCTGAGGGTGTCACCTGACAGAGAAGACTGGAAGGTTATAAAAATAGAGGGGGCCAGAATGTAGATGCCTTATGAGGCTGGGGACCCTGCCTGCTTACCTGAATCCAGATGGTCCCCTGAATCCAAATGGGGGGGGAGGGATAGCTCAGTGGTTTGAGCATTGGCCTGCTAAATCCAGGGTTGTGAGTTTAATCCTTGAGAGGGCCATTTAGGGATCTGGGGTAAAAAGCTGTCTGGGGATTGGTCCTGCTTTGAGCAGGGGGTTGGACTAGATGACCTCCTGAGGTCTCTTCCAACCCTGATATTCTATGATTCTAAGCATTCTCGAGGGGCAACTGCGGTTAGGATTTGTGTTATGTTCTAGATGAGCCCCACTCCCTCGTGCTTTATGGAAAGTAGAAGAAGAGCAATGGTGAGACTGGCAAGGTGTCTGTACGGGTTATATACCTCACAGCTACCATGCGCCTTCTGAGAGAGTTCAACAGGGACCCAAAAGCTCACACCTTGCGGGGGAGTTCTGGGAAAGGGTGTGTTTAAGCTACAGGGGAGTCTAAAGGGTCAGCACTGAGCCCAGGGGTTAGGCAGCTGGACAGCAGGTTCCAGCCCTGAGGAGGGGGTGCTAGACAGAGGATCTGCACCCCAAGTGGGTGCCTAGGGACCCCAGGACTGGACCAGCGGTTGGGCTCCATTCAGGCTCCAGAGGCTTAACACACCGGGGGACCCAGCAGCTGGTTTCCCTCACGGCAGTCTAGTGAGTGGCCAATGGGGGGTGCTTGACCGGGACCTGCAACCTAACCAGGCCTTCTGCCTCAGTCAGGGCTGCCAGGTGACTTAAGCCCTGATTTTGCAAGCTGCTCCCTATGAGCAGTCCGCTATGCCCATACCGAATCCCTCTGACGGCAATGGGAGTCCACCCCACACAAGAGTGAGTCCTTGGCCACCTTTCCCCACTCCTTGCACTGGAGCTGGAGTGAGAGCATTATGGCTGCCTACTGCACAGGGAGTAAGCAGCCCCCAGTGCTCTTTACCAGCAGCACAACTCTGCTGGAGCAGCCACAAATTGGCTCTAATTAAGTCCTCCCATTGGGTCTAGAAGTACAAGATCAATTATAGATCAGCTCAGCAGGAGTTTCTATGGTCAGATCATCATCTGTCTGGTGTGGAAGCTAAGCGCCATTTGCAACCCTGATGATTTGGGCAACCAACCCCACAAACAGTGCAGGGGATCTGCACATTCTACAAGTAACTTTTTCCTAAACTAAATAAGAGTTTCAATCAATGCTGCAGGGCAAAAGCCATGCTGCTGATGTATAGGAAAAAGCCTGTCAATTAACTGAAGCTCTCTTCTCTCTCATCTCTTATGAATGGCACTTTACAAAAAGCTGGGAGAATACCAGAGACAAGAGCCAATTTGTCGGAAAAGCTTGTTAAAGCAATTCATATCTGTGCTCGCTGACCGAATAAATGCAGGGAGAACTGTTAGGAGGCCTTACCCAAAGCCAAGAATGGATTTCTATATATACGTGTTCCTGATAGAGCTCACTTAGCAGCAGCAACAGCCATGTGGTCAGAGGAGTATTCGTTTTCTTTTTCAATCAATCTCCAGAGGGCAGAAGAGCCGCTGGAGAAGTGAGCACTGCTTACAGGCTGTCCTTGAATAATGTATTATAGTGCCCACCCAAGCGTCATTAGCTGAAGGAGCATAAATAAAGGGCAAGGATAAATATCAGTGGGTCAGATTGGGGTGTGGTGTTGGCCTATACCTCTTAGATTTTAACCCATCAAAACACAGAGCCGCTAAGATCTAATAGTTTTGCCACCCCCATTGTATCGTTACATGAAGACTATAACAGGGTTCAAAAAAGAACTAGATAAATTCATGGAGGATAGTATCAGAGGGGTAGCCGTGTTAGTCTAGATCTGTAAAAAGCAACAGAGAGTCCTGTGGCACCTTTAAGACTAACAGATGTATTGGAGCATAAGCTTTCGTGGGTGAATGCCCACTTCGTCGGATGCATGGAATGGAAATTTCCAGGGGCAGGTATAAATATGCTGGCAAGAATCAGTCTGGAGATAACGAGGTTAGTTCAATCAGGGAGGGTGAGGTCCTCTGCTAGCAGTTGAAGTGTGAACACCAAGGGAGGAGAAACTGCTTCTGTAGTTGGCTAGCCATTCACAGTCTTTGTTTAATCCTGATCTGATGGTGTCAAATTTGCAAATGAACTGAAGCTCAGCAGTTTCTCTTTGGAGTCTGGTCCTGAAGTTTTTTTGCTGTAAGATGGCTACCTTTACATCTGCTATTGTGTGGCCAGGGAGGCTGAAGTGTTCTCCTACAGGTTTTTGTATATTGCCATTCCTGATATCTGACTTGTGTCCATTTATCCTTTTACGTAGTGACTGTCCAGTTTGGCCAATGTACATAGCAGAGCGGCATTGCTGGCACATGATGGCATATATAACATTGGTGGATGTGCAGGTGAATGAACCGGTGATGTTGTAGCTGATCTGGTTAGGTCCTGTGATGATGTTGTTGGTGTAGATATGTGGGCAGAGTTGGCATCGAGGTTTGTTGCATGGATTGGTTCCTGAGTTAGAGTTGTTATGGTGCGGTGTGTGGTTGCTGGTGAGAATATGCTTAAGGTTGGCAGGTTGTCTGTGGGCGAGGACTGGCCTGCCTCTCAAGGTCTGTGAAAGAGAGGGATCATTGTCCAGGATGGGTTGTAGATCACTGATGATGCGTTGGAGAGGTTTAAGCTGAGGACTGTAGGTGATGGCCAGTGGAGTTCTGTTGGTTTCTTTCTTGGGCTTGTCTTGTAGCAGGAGGCTTCTGGGTACCCAGCTTCTCAATACATCTGTTAGTCTTAAAGGTGCCACAGGACTCTCTGTTGCTTTTTTCATGGAGGATAGGTCCATCAATGGCTCTTAGCCAGGGTGGTCAAGGATGGTGTCCCTAACCTCTGTTTGCCAGAAGCTTGGAATGAGCGACAGGGAATGGATCACTTGATGATTACCTGTTCTGTTCATTCCCTCTGGGGCACCTGGCATTGGCCACTGTCAGAAGACAGGATACTGAGCTAGATGGACCTTTGGTCTGACCCATTATGGCTGTTCTTATGTAAGTGCCCAAATCAACAAATCGGGGGGAGAGGGGAGGGGGAAGAAAACTATGAAAAGGTAAGTACTGTATTGATTGGAAAAAAAGTGGAAGTGATCTTGTATTTAAATCTTGTTGAAGACTTTAATGTGAGAGCTGCTGGCTCAATTCACTCCCAAGCCTCATCCGAGATTGTCCAGGAGCGCACCACTGCCAATTCTGATGTTGACAGGAAATGATTTACTCCTTTCATATACAGGCCAGGCTGCCCAGCCATCAAATAATGATTTTCAGCCACTGCCGGCCTTGGCTAGAACTGAATCAGTGCCCTAAAGGAGAAAGTCTCTGAAATCTACTAAGCACCATATGCACCTTGAAAGGTGAAAATTTCATTATTTTAAAAGTTCTTTACAAATATCAACTAGTTATACCTCAGTACCTCCAGGATAAAGACTGTACAGGGATCACTTTACCCACCACCGAACTGCTCTAGCCATTGGGGCGGAATGCAGGACCTGCTTACCTCCGCAAAAATCTGAGCAATTTAGATCAGAAAATGAAAAAAACTTCTATTCTGTCCAACTGCAAATTTAAAAGGCAGTTGTAGGTAGGAACAAGTATGGTGTTAGCCCCAAGGTCCTGGACAAGTCTTAACTTAGATTTTAGGCACAGTGGGAAGTTTATTCATCACAAGAAATCAGGGACTCCACTGTACATCTACTCTGAAACATGGCACCTTCAGCAGCACACAGTGACAACCTACTGAATTACTACAGTCACTTGCGACATCATTTCGTTTCCCCTGGAAGGTCTCCCATCTAAATACCAACCCCAGCCCATTGTTGCTTAGCTTGTGAGATTCAACAGGATCACAGCACACAGTAGCGTGGTTGCAGCCCAGAATTGGCTCCTTTGGGAGAGTGACGAATGTGGGAGCTATATGTAATGTTTTTATGAATATTGTGTGTTTGAGAATGCAGTATGGCTGGCTCTGTGGAACACTACGGGTAATGCCAGCTTCAACTCTCTGCACACACCCCAGCAATCAGGCAATGACTAAATAAAATAAATAAATAAATATATGGAGATATACCTATCTCATAGAACTGGAAGGGACCCCAAAAGGTCATTGAGTCCAGCCCCCTGCCTTCACTAGCAGGACCAATTACTGATTTTGCCCCAGATCCCTAAGTGGCCCCTCAAGGATTGAACACACAACCCTGGGTTTCGCAGGCCAATGCTCAAACCACTGAGCTATCCACTAGTTCAATTATTAATGCTCAAATGGACAATATGACAACTCCACTACTACAAGTCTGCCTCCGTCCCACCTGGGGAGATGCATAAACCCAACTGACCAGGTTCAGATGTTCCGGGACAAAGAAAGGGACTTTGAAATAGGTAAGAGACTGCCTATCAACTCAGGATGGAGACACACTGGGGCTGACTGAGTGAGAGGATACTGACTGCCTGGGACAAGGTACATTTGCAAGGTAAGGCTAAGGTTTAGGTTGGAGGACATAAGTATAGGCCTTTTGTTGTTTTGACCCTCTTCCTCTGATTGTTGTGTTCCTATGAATAAATACATACTTTGTATTGAACAAAGTGTTCTGCCACTGAACTTTCACACTGACTGCAGGCTCCTGGAAAGAAATCCAGGGCCACCTGGGCCAAAAAACTCAGTTGGACCTGCTGAGGACACTGGGGGTTAACAGGGGTGCCATCACCTGGTGACCCATTCTAGGAGTGGAATTCAGTTGTGGGATTCTACCCGGAGAGAAGTACAAGCACTGGGAAGGGATGACTACAAAGGGAATGAGTGCGGGGACAAAGGTACAGCTCATCCTCGAACCCTAACAAGGGGTAGAAAAAACACACAATCCTACTTACAACAGATGGATGGCTCTTTGCATTCTTTTTTACAGCAGCATTTAAAGCATTTCTTCATCACCATGTAGATGTAGGCAAAGATGACGAAGGGAAATGGAATAGTCAAACGGCTGCCGTACTCCTGAACCAAGAAATAGCGCTGGAACTTCCACACCTGGTCGTTGTTTTCTTGTACTGATCCAACCGTGTAACTAAGGGGCAGATTAAAAGTTAAACCTCTGTTTGTCTCAGGGTATCACTAGTTATTTATTATCCAATGAAGATTTTCATTAGATCCAAATAACAGAAGTTTTCCTATTAGCAAGGATGGGGAATTGGTTTTACATAGTTTCAGTCACGTGAACATCCTGGATTTAAAAGTTGGACTCTGATTTGGAGAGGCTGGAAAACAAAGGAAGAAGTGGAGCAGAGGAAAGTGAAAATACACACTGATTGCGAAAAAAGGTACCCTGTGTAAAGACTAATGAAAGATTAAATGATGTATGGAGCTCTACCTACTTGTGCCAGTCCGGCTTTAGGGGATGTTCTTCTAGCTTTGCCATACCACACAGGCTGCCCTATAGCTAGACAATGGGTTGCATGAATAATATTTGCCAACTCTTACAATTTTGAGCAAAACTAAAAAAATAGGCTGTTTGCAAAGCCTGCAACTCCTCCGAGTTTATTATAAGGAGTAGTATTATAGGAGCCCAAGTCATGGACCAGAACTAGGTGTTATACAAACAAAACAAAACCATGGTACCTGCCCCAATCCTTTCCCGAGATATTTCAAAATGGCTCTTTCAAGAACTCTTAATAGGTTCTTCAGAAGGTTAAGATAAACTTTAACATTTCTATAATCTAGTGTGAAATATCCTTTAGTTTCCAGCTCTCTAAAAAAATTAATTAAATCCTTAATTTTGCCGACAAAATGTTTATATTCCTTGAAAAGAGGAAATCAATAATGATACATTTTGACTGAGTTGTAGCTCTCGTATGGTATGCCAGATGGTGGTTGGCATCTCCATGATATTTACTTATATTTTAATATCAATTTTAAAGACAGACAGGATACGATCTACATTATTCTTGCTCTATTGCTGGAGAACCAGTCAGCCAGCAGCGTTATTACAAATTGACAGATGATCAGAGGAGGTGGGGAACCTGGGAGAAGGAATCACACATTCCATTAATAGGTGTGACTACGCTCTGCTTGTGGGTTCCTCGACATGTTTTACACACACAGGTCTTCACCCAGACTGCTCCAGGAGCCCCAGTTGGCCCCAACACAGATCATAAGCCAGCAGCCAGAACCACACTTCCCACCTACCAGAGTCCTCCCTGGCCCCAACAGACCGTGCAGACAAACAGGCTTTGCAGCATGAGTTGAGGATCGACAAGCTAGGACAAATGTCAGACCAGGTTTCACACAGACTTTCATTTTCTGACTAGCTCCGGTCCATTCTGATTTTACCAAAAGCAGTTCATCCATTACTAAAATAGTCAATACTTTTAACTCTGTTTATCTGAAAGACCCACGACCCTAAGGATTTGTGATAAGGTGAAGAATGACTGATAGCACATTTCAGATGTCAGACTTACCTGTCGGGCCAGTCTAGCCTCCTCAATGCTAAACACATGGGTAACTCCCATCTAAAATAAAAAGCCATTAATATCTCCCTAGAGGAAGTCTCTGGAGTTCTTCCATTCATCCACAGATGATACAGTATAGTGCTTGTGCTACAAGTCAGAGTGATAAATAGCAGGAACATTAAGGCACTAGTGCACTGAATGCTTGCTACAAATCATGCACCTAGAGCAGCAATTCTGGTTATTATTGAGTCATAAAAAGAGTACATTAAATAAGAACGTATCCATCTGATCTGGTGTATTGTACTACCGGCAAGATCAACTGATGGAAAGCTCCAGCTCATGGTTAATAAAACATTAATCCAGATTTTAAGTCCCTCCTAAACTGCAGGGGTTTGAGTCCAGCCCAGAGAGATGGAGAAGAGCTACAACTGTTGGATCCAAATCTGAGTTGGGATTTAGAACCCATCCCAAAGGTGGGGGGGGTGGGCTTTAGTTTTGGAAGTTTAACTCCGCTGAGATCAAATGTTTTAATTTTGGGAAGGGACTGAAGGCAAACTTTTTCAACAGCACCTATGTGCCTTAGGAGTTTCCATACCTGTAGCACTCAATGCCCAAAGTCACTTTTGCAAGTGGTAACAGGGAGCAAATTCCAGCAGCCAGCAGCAATAATCTTGGAAGATTAAAGTCCTAGGGTCCAATTTTCAAAAGCACCTCACCGATATAGGAGCCCAACTTTTCCCAGGGCTGAAGAGTCATTTAAAGTTGTTAATGAAGTAAAGGCAGTTAATCATCCGCGATTACTGCTTCTGGCCCCTGGAACAGACACTCAGTACCCACCCCACAGCTAACTTCCATTTATCACTTCAGGCTCTGTTTGTAAGCAGCTGGCCTGTGCACGGCTACTTTCATTTTCCTCTGCAGCCAGGTAACCCCATGGCTTGAGCACTGGAACTGGATTTTTTCCAACCATTCCAGTGTCAGCGTTCACCTCCAAAATGGGAGTAAGAGACACCTCTCCCTGATGGGCACAATCTGAAATCATTTGGCAAGCTTTGGAGGCAGTTCTGCCAGACATAGGGAGGCCTGTGGGAAAGTCGGTTGGTGCCATGTTTTAAGTCATTCTCATACAGTAACGACTGCATTTTAAGCAGAATGCAGGGCCAGTTGGCTGTTTAGGAAGTGGCTTTAACCCTATTCTTGCAAGAGACTCAGTGAGGCCGTTTACCTCCATCAGAAGGAGATGTAAAGGAATCTGAGGGTTCAGGGGCAGCAGAAAGACACCCGACCAGCCTCTGCATATTTTCCAGACATCCCATATCGATTTTACTGACATTGCAATGGCCACTGCACCCCATCAGAAAAATACAAGGAGCTATAAAACCAAGGGGTGAACTAACTACACTTGCAATGTGAAACAAAATTTGTTATAGGAGTGTCAGGGAATGTGGCAGCAACAGGAAAGTGAGTTTCTGCTGGGAAAAAGTAAAATCATCAGATGGGAGGACGCCACCAATGCGGAAAGATTACCTGGCAAAGAGCAAAAATTGATGATCGAAAGAACTGGGCTTGAACAAACAACATGAAGACATGGTAGCTCCCAGAGTGCACAGAAGGGATAAGCCTGAAGGAGCTGATTGCCCACTGTTCAGCCCTGAATGTGAAACGTATGAGCCGCAAGTGCTGTTCTTCCAAGTGAACAGCAGGGTTGGGTGATGAATGCCCCAAGTGGCAAGGAGAAGAGAAGCTTTGAGCGCACACGTTGTGAATATAACTTGATTGCACTTTAACTCCTCTAAAAGTTGCCCACTCCTATACCACTGTAATACCTGGGGGTGCTGAAACTAAGACATCGCAGCCACCATCCAACCCTGCTGGACAATGGACAGCCAGCCTATGCAGGGATGAGGAAGAGGGTGTGACAGTGGATCCGTGTGCATGTGACTATGGCATGGTTTGCCAAGACTCTCTTATTTTAAAGCTAAGGTACCATTTGATTTTGACTTGCTAGTAATCTTTGCACCAGATGCAAGAAATAATCTATTGGTTTTGAAGTGTCAAGTGGCAGAACGTCTGGTCACAAGATGTGAGCTTTCTATCAATATCAATTACGTCCGACTTTGTCATGCTCTCCAATATGGATGTGCAAATCCCCTTAAAGTCACTGGCACATACATCTCTCAGGGGAGCCTATGAGCCTTCTGATGTATACTTAGCAAATGTCAGAGGCTTCCAATTTCAAATGAAAAACATTTGTGAGCAGTGATATTGAACAGCAACAAATGTGCATGTTCTTTTGGAAAGAAAAGGGCCTTTCTGTTAGATATTGACTTACACTGCGTGTGTGTGTCTGAGCATGAGAAGCAGTAAGAACCTCCTCATACCCCTCTCCAGATCTTGAGTTTGGATGTGCTTTGGTACCAGTTTGGTGCTGTTATAGCGCAGTACCAATTACAAACCCACCTCCAGGAGCAAATAGAGGAACAGGGAAGGAATTGTGGGTATAGTTCTTTTCCCTGGGAGGCTTTTACGGTAAAGCAGCCACAGGCCGTCCCCTTACAACGGGCAGTGTCATTGTGGCACAAACTAGACCAAAGGATGGTTAGCTACTCCGTGAAATGCCAATTGTGCAGAGAGCTGTACCTCATCAGGGTCCAGTTTGTAACTCTTGTCTTGAATTGCTGCAGGTAGAGGATGCTGCTGAAGATTATGGTGGATGTATTTTGTTTATGGTCATGGCGTCTACTATCTTTAGATGTCTATGCCTTCTAATGTATTTTATTGCCCTTGTCCATGTAGCTGCAGTGTACGGTGCGGTAATAGGCGCTAGGTGGTTTTCTAGTTTGTAATTTTGGAACAATACAAATAAATACGAAGGAACTGAAATGACAAGCACACATGTAAACAGAACGTTGCTCCTGCACGTGGCCAATTCTATCCCTCCCCCACCATTCTCCACTTCTCGTAACCCGCTGCCTGGGAAAGAGATTCTGGATTCTACTCCAACCGCTGCTACCACCCCATGGCCCGCGGTGGCAAGGAATGGGGGGATTCTTAACTCCCCAGTCTCCTGAGCAGCCCTGTTGGGGCTCAGGAGAATCCTAGCCCTTACTTTGGATCGAATCACTTAGTTGAACGAGTGGACATTTGGGGGAAGTATGACACCTCCCCTACAGATCTGAGTATTGCAGGTTTTAGTCGGACCACAAGTATGTATTAAATTCAACATAGTGCCTGCTACCCATTACTGGAGCAGTCTGGGAGTGTCGGCATTCAAAGGGTTAATAGGACAGTAATTATACAGGTGTAGAATGTTACACAAATACCGGATTATCATCCACGCTGAGGATGATAATTTAACAGTCCTGAAACAAACAGAATCAAACCCTCTCAGCAGATCCCTTGGTTAATTCAGACCTGATCCGGCAGCAGCTCTCCTACTCCCAAACTCTCCCTGAGCTCTATGGACATGCCGTAAAGGAAGGCACTGCAGGGCTGGATCCCAAGCTTACGATAAACCACCAGGGATAGCTGAAGAGTAAGGACAGTCTGTACTTAAGGCACTGCACTGGGATTCTTCTGCCTCTGACTCCCTGGGGGACTTTTAGGACAGTCCCTTGGTCTCTGTGGCAGTTTCCCCATCCATAAAAGGGGACAATAATACTCCCCTCCTCCCACCCCGACTTGCTAACTAGACTTACGCTCTTTGGGGTAAGGACTGTCATACTATAGTGTGCACAGCCCCCAGTATAATGGGGCCCTGGTTTTGGTTTCGGGCTCCAAGTGCTACTGGAATATAATGATTATTTATTTAACAGAGAGTTAGTTGATCTACAGCACCATGTTTGGAGATTTTGATTGAAAAGCATCATGGGCCTGAGCACTCAGATTAACCTAGGAGTGGCAGACTGAACTCTATATCCCACCACCACCTCAAATACAGAGAATGAAAGCATTTTAAAGGTCTAAACCCTCCACCCTCCACCCTAAAGGCTAAACTTTCTCAACCATGTAGGACAGTAAGCCACCCCAGCCCGACTCAACCAGTGAAGACCTACCCAGATCTAGGGTCCAGGTCTGGTGCAGAGCGCAGCCTCTGCTTTTCCCACCCCAACTGCAAACATGTGGATAAGGAAAGGGAGGGGCCCCAGCATTGGCTCCACCCCCCTGTATTCCGCTGTCAGTGGAAATGGGCTGGCAGGAAGGGGTGAGTAAGCTGCAGCCACCTTTCCAAGCTGCAGTGAGTAACGCTCAGAGGAACGCGCTGCAGTTCCTTCCCAGGGCTCCTCCCAGGACAGCATAGCTACACAATGCTCCTCGTACAGGGCTGAGTGTAAGCTCGCCATTCTGCCCTCAGTTCCCTACAATCAGGACAAGAACCAAGCTGTCTTCCAAAAGAGGAGCACCAGACATCTGCAGGTCAGTTTGTAAAGATCTGCTCCTCCGGGAGGAGAGGTGCTACATAAATACGAGTTCTAAGTACAAACAGATGGTCAGTGTATCTAGTAAACCTGAATCTGTGGCTCCTGCAGATGCTGCCTGGATATCGTACTGTCCCTCTGCTCACTTAAGTCGCTTGCTGGCTCATGAGTGAAGTCATCAAGAACATTGCTCTTCATTCCCGTGAAACAGCAGGATTCTTATCAGCTCCACGTCCTACTGGCTCACAGAAACGGAGAGGCTCTTGTGCATGTCACGTCACACTATTGCACATGCTTCTCATTCATGTGTGTACTTGCAGCACGTCTAGCACTTTAGATTTATTGATGGCAAGTCACCTGAAGGAGCTGGGATTTCAGCAGAGCTGCCATTTTTATTTTGCCGAGGTTGGGAGGTTCTTTCCAGTAATGAGGCAGATATTTAATTTATGGGAGGGGCTTTCTTTTAGGCTTGAAAACCTTGGTGCTGTCCCGCTAAACAGCACACTACACACACCCTGGTCTCTGACGTTCTCTGGTGAGTGTTAAACCTGTGGAGTCTAACACAGGGCTTTCTCCAGCTTTTCCACTCCTTAGACTTTCTAAGAAGGAGGTTCCCTCTTGGACCTATTTTCCCTTGGTCTGGCCATTCTGCAGACTGCAAGGGCCACCATTAGAGAACCGCTCATCTAATACATACCCGAACATGGCAACCAGCAGGTTAACCAGGAGGATGTTGGTGGAGAGCATGTAGATGCACACCAGGGGGATGGTGATCCACTCCGGGAAGCGGGGATGGTTGTTAGCATCCAGTTCTACACACAAAGGTTTAGACTCATTCCCGGAGAAGGTGCAGCGATCAAAATTGTATGTGGTACCTAGAGCAAGAGGAAGAGAGAGTGAGACTGCGGGGGCTGTGCAAAGGAAGCCTTTTGCTCTCTGATGTGTCTGTAACATCGGGGATTTACCCCAAGACCACTCACTGATGCTACCGTTTAGCGTAAACAGATGAAATGTAATTTGCCTGGGAGTAGACTACCACTGCTTGAAACCAGCGTTAGTGCCATCAGCAGTAGCTCTGCCTGTCTGCACTAGGCATTTACAGCAGTGCCCTGGGCTGCAGTCATTGCTGGCCAGACATCAGTGCAGCTGCACTAGGGCCGTCACTGCAATGCACAGGGGAGGGCAGACCGCGGCCCTCCAGTTTATATGGAGATGGCGGTTGCAAAGGGCAGCTTGTGAACTAGAGAAATGAACACGGCAACGATATTCCATTAGCACCGAACACACCATACGCACATGTAGGAGAGTGCGCCAAAAAGCTCTGGCATTAGCCATTTAACGTCAGACAAGTCAGAGAAAGACTGTAACCACCACCACACCTCCCTCCGATACTGGAATGGATTGCATGGGATGAAGTCTCGTGTGAAAACCCACCTTCCTGCTGTTTAGAAGGAAGGGGTCAGGAAGGTTGGAGCAGGAGCCTGTTGGGGGGTTGATTGGAGTGAGTATGAAGGGGCTGTACCAGGTGCCTGGAGAGAAGGGCAGTGGGAACCGGAGGGGCACATTGGAGCTGGGCCAGGTCTGGCGAAGTGCTGGGTGCCAGATGGGAGGGGAGTGAGGGCTCCTGTAACGGGGCCCAATTTTCAGAGGGCTGATGAACCACGTCCCTCTAAGGTCTCCAATCACGCCCCCACTGTCATCTGATGCCTTGGCCCCAGCCACTTATAGTCTATCCTGCTTTAATACTGGCTTGAACAGTCATTAAGGGTCAAATCCTTCAAGCAGCTGTCCATGGGCAGACCTGCGTCCCTGCAGAGCCCACTCAAGTCAGCAGGGCTCAGTATAAACACAGATCCAATGCAGGATCTGGCCCTAAGAGACACTGTGGGCTCCCTAGCTGAGCCAAATGAGTGCAGCCCCCCCCTGCCCAGGGGAGGTACACACAGAAGATGGCTACCATCAATGTCATCAGGGTACTGGCCAAACATGGCCAGGTAAGGCTCGTAGATAACTGATCGGAAGATCCATTCCCAGCGGTACTCATTCTTCCTCAGGATGCCCTGCCTGGCCACGCCAAAGGCTACCATCCACACACCGAAGAGGAACAGGAAGAAGAAGACATCAATCATCTAGAAAAGGAGGGTATAAAAAACAGATCAGTGCATCATCCACATTCCTGCAGCAAGTCACAATGTAAGGAGGCCCAGGAGTTTGTTCCCTGTGAATTAAACAGAAGGTTGGGAACTGATGTGAAAATCCAGTCACTTGGCAACACAGTATAGCCACATTTTCAGATGGCCTCCATCCAGTCTCAGACGGTATGCTCGAACTTAAGTGGTTATAAGATCAGTGCCTGATCCAAAGCCTATTGAGATCAACGGGAAAATCCCATTGACTTTCATGGGGTTTGGATCAGACCCCAAAATCTACACGTGCAAGTTCTGTACACAGGTCCAAGATGAATAACTGACCTGATTCACACTCAGACATAGGTTTCACGTATGCAACATTTAAAACAGCAAAACCGGTAACCACTTCTGACAATTTGGTCCTGGGCACCTTGAAAAAGAAATGTTCATTTTCTAGATGCCCACAGGTGATGGATTGCTGAATTCCTTCCCCTTGGTGTTCCTGCAGAGACTATCGACAGTGTGTATTCCAGGAAGCAACTTTCCATTTGATACACCCACAAACGACAAGCGTTCTCTTGTCTCCTCTCTCCTCTCCCACCTCCTCAAAATATTACCTCTTTCCTCCAAATACTGGGGATCTGCCATTTGAGAGACTGACAGAGAAAAAGAAAAAGAAAAATCACACAAAAGAATAGCCCCTACATTGAGGAGGCAGTAACAGCATCCTCTTATCCCCTGCCACCCCACCCCTTCCCCGCTGTAGGCCAAGAGGCCTGCCTTTGACTGCCGTCTGCCCGAGTTAAGATGCCAGACCTTTGTTTGCTCCACCCCTTGTGAGGGTCAGGGCGTGTTGTCAGTCCCAGCCAGGGGCCTGTGGGCTAAAGCCTGTGCCCTGCTCTGCCCTGCCCAAAGAACCAGAGCCTAGACTGAGTGTTTGCTGGCTGCCTTAGCCAGGGGGGTTAGGCTAAAGCCGGCGCCCTGCTCCGTCCCACCCAAAGGGCCAGAGATTCAGGCTATGAATTACTGCCCCCTCAAACGTGGCGGCTGAGGGCTACAGACTGCTCACTGCTTCGCCCTGCCCAAGAGGGCAGGAGCACCAGGTTGTTCCTATTGGTTTGCCTCTGCTTGGAGGCTACAGAACTATAGACTTCGTACGGCTCGACTCCGCCAGCAAGGCCCAAGTCTGAGGGTTGTTGCTTGATACAGAGAGGTGGAGCGGCCTCCCTCCCCACTTGAGAGTGAGGGACCACTACAAACCCCTTATTTAGTAAGAGCCCAGTTCTGTGATCCTTTGTCACCAATAGAAACTGGGGGGCCAGGATGACCCGACCACCACGGAAGTGGCAGAAAAATGGAAGCCAGAGATGTAGCAATTCTTTAAAAACCTCAGTGTTAATTTCACCTGCACGTACATTCAATTGCTCTCAGTGCTATTTCTTCATAAGTTCCCCAGGTTCAGTGCACCCCAGGTGTGATCAAAGCCTCTTTTCCTTTCCTGGGAAGTAGACAGGCCCCAGCCTGTGTGCACAATCCAGTACCTTTTTTAGCTCACCGTCCGTACTCTTGGACCGAGAGCTCTCTCCAGCGCCCCCTTCTCTGGAGCGGTTCCTTCAGCGGCACGCCCCTCCTCCTGCCACCACTGAAGTGAACCGAGCCACTCCCCTGGGTCTCCCCCTCCCAGTAGGCTTTGCCAGCGATTAGTAGACAGGGCTCTCTTTCCCCACTCTAAAAGGGAGTGAAGTCAGCAAGACCACTCCCTAGTCCAATTCCTGAAGCAGGCAAACTCCCAACAGCTGCTAAGTCTAGCTTCTCAGAAGAATTGAGGTTTTCCTTCCTCAGCCATACCCTTACTCGTGTTGAGTAAGGAATCTTCATGTGAGTAAATGAGTTGGGCTGCAAAATCCAGCTCTGAAGCATTTAATATGCCCTGAGGCTGAAAGGTGCTGTGAAACCAAGCTCGTTGTCTTTCCAGCGTTAACTGTTCATTCAGAGGGACCCCCCCCACCCCATGCAGAAAGCCAATACACAGTCCTGTACTAGTTATGTCCCTCTTCAATCTCAATTAAACCCTATTTTGAGGAGGTATGTGGGGTTTGGGCCTTGTGCTGGCTCTCTGTACAGGGGGGAATTTCACTCTAAGAAGAAAAGCTTGTCACTTGGTTTATTTAGAATGTTATGAACAATTGCCCGTGTCTTACCATCCTCTGAAGCATAATAATTTTTGGTCCTAGATTCCTGCTAACTGTGAAAATGTGGATCAGCCTTAGAGTAAAAATGATGTAGTCCAGGCAAAAAATGACTCGCCCAGAGTACCAGGAGTTTTCATTGGAGGAACGGAGCCTGGGGAAGAAAAATAAGTATAGTGAAACACTGGCTAAAGTTCTGACAAATATATATATTGAAACAGCCTAGTCCCATAGAGTAGAACCTGGTTAATCCATGCTTACTTATTTATAGTCTTTGCAACAAAAGTTGGTGGTCTCTTCTATCCTCTTAGCAAAAGTGTAACAACAGATGCTGTACAGGTCTCATTCCTTTCATTTCTTCCCCCCAAAATATACCACAAACTTTTACTAGTGTATGACGACAGAGTAACATCAATAACTGGAACTACAATTGACAAAACAAGTGAACAAGGTATATTGCAGGATGTATGTATCCGTGCCTGTTCATGTACTTGCCCCGTCATAGAATCCAGTCTGTACCCGGGAGTGAGGGTCTATTGTATAGTATATGTAAATTACAGCAATCCCCTAAACCACACTAAAAGGCTATTAAGTGAGATTAGGTGTGGGACAATCCAGAAGGAAAACCAGCAGCTTCCCACACAACCCTTTCATGACCAAGGACAGACACCTGAGTTCTGCTACGGAACAGGAGTCTCCATTCCCATTCTATCCTCTTGGCCCCTTTTTCTGAGGCTGTCAAAAGGTACAATTAAGTTGGAATTATGAATCTTTTAACTGACAGGGATATCTGTCCATTAGAAACCAAACTAACAACACTAAGGGCCCAATCCAAAGCCCATTGAAGTCAATGGTAATCTTTTCCACTGACTTCCGTGGAAGCTGGCTCAGGCCTCAAGTCGCTTCACACACCGTACATCGCTATCAGCTGATAAACAGCTTTCAGCCACTAATAAGCGGGGGAGGAATTCTCACTGGCAATCCAGAAAGGTTCATGCCCCGTTACCAGTCAGCAGAGTCATCCAGTTCGTCTCAAATGTTAAGTGGGTATCCGGATCTTTAAACAAGGTCAAAACTGATGAAGCAGCAGTACAGGATGGAACTAGACAAGGCTGCTGAGGCCAGGTCTTGATTTTGCAAAACTAATTCTAAACCAGAGATGGTTCAAATGGAAGGGTACCTTACTCTGAGCCACCTACCTTTGTGCAGGGGAGTGTGGGAGATTTGGGCTTTTGCAAAAACTCAAGACCGTAGCACATAAGCATCAGTCGTGCACCCACCCAAAGAGCAGAGATCCTCAGGATCACCCATCAGTGCTACTGCAGTCAGGAGGACAGAGGTATTTCCACGAAGCATACTTCAGGCCTCATTGGGCCCAATTCTGACCTTAGCTACACCAGCATAAATCCAGAGTCACCACACTGACTTCAGTAGAATGACACTGGATTCACGCTGGTATGACTCATAGCGTTTGCACACACTGTGGTAGCGGAAAAGACAGCGGGCCTCACGAAGGTTCTTAAAGAGAAAGACCAGCACCCAAAGGAAGGCTGGGGAGCTCATCCTCAGGAACAGAACGCCAGGTGTTTGGCAGGGGAGGGAGCTGAAGCTGGGGACCTCTGCCCACTTGGCTTTTGATGGATGCACATCAGAGAAGGCTGAAGTAGCAACGCAACCCTCTCTTACCAGGAGCTACAATAGATACTTGGTGAATCAGGAATAGACACTAGGGTCAGACAAATGGCTTGAGTCAACATCTAAACCCCTCAACTAGCTCTGTGTGATTCTGCTAAACCATACCCTATATTTCCTATAACTCTGGATCTAACTGTGCTGCTGGCCTAGAAGGGCTCTGAAATCCAGGAAAACATCCTCTGAGTCCAGAGAATGTGGGGTTCTTGAATTCTGACTAGCAGCACCCAAACCAAACTTCTCTGGGTTAATCATTATCTGAGCAGGAGAAAATTTCCTCAGCACAAGTTCTCTTCAGCCCACGAGATGTTCTGCAGAACCAGTCTTTGTGCCTTGGAACCAAAATCCACAACCTTCTATTACTTTAGGAAACAGAACGAGTTTGCTAGTGAGTTCAAGTGACTTGGTTCATCATCTTCTCACAGCCAGACACACACCGTACCAGTACCTGGCACTGAGGAGAGCCATGGTAATATGCCTTTACACTGAACACTACTCACCTGAATATAATCCCTGTTATGAAGTAAAAGATTCCAAGCGTATCCATGATGTTCCACAGATCTGAGAAATATTTATTCCCATTCATGTACCACTAGAAAGGGAAAAGAGCAGAAAATCACCACAACAGCATGCTGCCAGCACTGATTACTCCCATCATGGGCCCAGTTCCACCACCATTACTCGCCTTGGGTAACTTAGTCCGCGAGTGCTCTCATGGATTTCACTGGAGCCGCACATAAGGAACTATTCACAGTAAGTGTGGCCAAACTCGGCCCTTTACAACCATAGAACTGGCTCTTATTTTTCCATCTCCTTGTTGAAGACATTTATTGGCTACAGTATAGTTCAAATCACTGACATTTTAGGGAAAACATCATTCTCAATATTGGTTTCACTGCTCACCTCTATCAGAGAGACACAAATCAGGATTTTCTAGCCCTAAAGGTTCATTTGAAAATGCTTTTGCTATTGCAGTCTGAGTGCTAGACTAATTTCCTTGAGCTGGTTACTCAGTTGGAATACACAGCTGAGTACAGCCCACCAGTGGAAATAAGGGGTACCCAATCTGGCCTTGAAAGTGAAGCCTGCAAAATGATGGATACACAGGAGGGGTACACAGCTAGAAGGTGTGACTGCCAGTGTGGGAAGAAATACACATACTAGCGATGATCAAGCTAGTGCACTAAAAATAGCAACATGGCCATGGCAGCAGCGTAGGTGATGGATGGGGTTACCTAGTACAATCCCAGAGGCCCTAGGTATGTAATCCAGCAGCTAGCCTGAGCCACCACCAATAGAGGCCACACTGCTATTGTTGGTGCACTAGCACAACCAGAGCTAGTGTGTATTGTGACAAAGTTCCTCCTCTATCTTGGTGGGTCCTGCACTTATTGGCAGCTTTTCTTGCCTCAGAGATTCACCATGTGGGTTGGGGAACAGCCCAGAGACCTTCCCCTCTGGAAGAACCCACAGTCCAGGTCAATTGGGAGGTTTGGGGGGAACCCAGGCCCGCCCTCTACTCTGGGTTCCAGCCCAGGGCCCTGTGGACTGCAGCTGTCTATAGTGCCTCCTGTAACAGCTGCATGACAGCTACAACTCCCTGGGCTACTTCCCCATGGCCTCCTCCAAACACCTTCCTTATTCTCACCACAGGACCTTCCTCCTGGTGTCTGATAACGCTTGTGCTCCTCAGTGCTCCCGCAGCACATCCTCTCACTCTCAGCTCCTTGCGCCTCTTGCTCCCAGCTCCTCACACTCGCACCACAAACTGAAGTGAGCTCCTTTTAAAACCCAGGTGCCCTGATTAGCCTGCCTTAATTGATTCTAGCAGCTTCTTCTTAATTGGCTCCAGGTGTCCTAATTAGCCTGCCTGCCTTAACTGGTTCTAGCAGGTTCCTGATTACTCTAGTGCAGCCCCTGCTCTGGTCACTCAGGGAACAGAAAACTACTCATCCAGTGACCAGTATATTTGCCCTCTACCAGACTCCTGTACCCCACTGGTCTGGGTCTGTCACAGTATGTCTATCCAAACCGGGAGTTACACCCCTCAGCTGCTGTGTAGACAAACCCTAAGTTAGGTCGAACAAATTTGCGGAGTGTTTCATCTGATGGCTGGGTTTGCTATGTCTCATCAGCAAGAACTGAACCTTGGACCTTTTAACCTAAAACCATGCCTCTCTACTGCTTAAGCTACAGGACAACAGCCGGTAACTGGAGTCGACACAAATCTCTTAGTGAGCCAGCCTCAAGAGAAGGACAGAGTCCCACAGTGTGTTAACATGCAGCCTACGTATTACCTCAGCTGAGACGTTAATTGGGATACTGGTGGAACATAGGCAGCAGCTCTATCAGATGGGCCAAAAGAAAGTCCTGCTTTGGCCAATTAAAAGTGATCACCATCATTATTTTTGCCCTAACCTTTGCACTTAAGTTTCTCCCCCCTGTAAGATGGATGTAGTAGAACTTTCCCACCACAGAGGGAGCTGCGAAGCTTAACTGTTTAACACTTGCACAATGCTTCAAAGATAAGTGCCTCGTGGACCAGCAGTGGTCCATGGACCACAATTTGAGAGCCACTGAGATAACACAGTATTCTTTGACTGGTTTCGGTGGTAGCCGTTTTAGTCTGTATCAGCAAAAAAACCTAGGAGTCCTTGTGGCACCTTAGAGACTAACACATTTATTTGAGCATAAGCTTTCGAAAGCTTATGCCCAAATAAATGTGTTAGTCTCTAAGGTGCCACAAGGTCTCCTCGTTTTTGTATTCTTTGACAGTGGCCCCTCACTTCTTGTCCAGCAAAGACACAGCTCACTGCTGGAATCCCATGGGAAGTAACTGCTAAACTCACTATTAAATATTTTTGGATCAGGTGTGTTTTTTCCTAAAACTCTCCAAATGAACAATATTTACCTGTATGTATTTTCAACCAACGATGCCTCTGAAACGCAGTCTCAAATTTAACCCCCACCCCCCACCTCTGCATTTCATGGACAGGGGTCAGATTCTGACCTCCAGACCAGAGCCCCCATTCAATGCTTGGGGGGTCCACATTGGGCCTGAAACGGGGAAGGGGGCTGGATTCTGAATCCTGGCCACATCTGACAGAAGTACTGTGTGATCAATCAATAAAGAGATTTCTGCATTTTGACCCATTCTCCTCAAAGCAGCTCAACAGCACCCAGCACCAACAAATCTCATCCAAAACCTTAGTTCTGATTCAGCTTTGAACTCTATCTTAAGGGTATCACAGATCCAAATATCCCCTACTTCAGTTAATTCTAGTCTCCTTTTGTATCCATCAAAAAGGAAATGATATAAAAGTATCAGATCATTTCAAACAGAGATCTGGTCCAAATGCATATTCAATCATTATAAAGAATTGTCATGTACTGAGAGTTAATCACAGATTTAACAATCCTTTAAACATGTTTTATAACCAGTCTGTAGGACCAAGATTCCTACTTCTGGTACAAGTATTTGGGTGTGTTTATGAAGTGGAATGGTGGCATCTAGTGGCTGGTTGAATTAATTTCAGGGTTGGTTTTCCCCTAGGTATCCCATTCTGGAGTAATGTATGGGCTCATTTTTCCATTTGTAATTAAGTATCATTAGTTCAAGTAGTTCTGAATCTTTGGAATAGGATCAATTACTATCAGCCCAAGTGCATCTCAGCCACTGGAGAGCAGTGAATACCTACTCAATTCTCAATGCATTTGAAAGAAAACCAGTGTCCTGGACATTTTCACCTTTATACACAATGACATAGCAGAGCAGAGTGCCTGGTGTATATGACTTGTTACTGGTGCTATTCAAATCCATCTATGGTAGCTGTCATTTTCCATAGTATGGGAAGAATGGTTAATAATGCACCATGGTTACACAAATGTTTAGATTAGAATCTGCACTGTTATTGTAGCTAGGTTAGTCCCAGGATACCAGAAAGACAAGGTGGATGAGGGAATATCTTTTATTGGACCAGCTTCTGTTGGTGAGAGATAAGATTTCAAGCTACACAAAGCTTAAGAGTAACAGCTCTATGTAGCTTGAAAGTTTGTCTCTCACCAACAGAAGTTGGTCCAATAAAAGCTATTCCCTCACCCACCTTGTCTCTCTACATTAGCACTTGTCAAATTCAAGATATTTCTATTTCTGCACATGTTCGGCTCAGACCTCGCTTTGAACATTACATGTTGGGAAAGGCAGATGCTCAAGGGCAAGAGAATGCAAGTCAACCAGACTATCACGGTTATCCTCTCATTAGTGGCTTTGCAAATGAAATTAAAAATCCCTTGCTTTTTATGAACCAAAGATGGCCAGAACTGACCTGGATTAAACATTTTATTGTAGCAATTGAACATCTAGGAGCCAAGTCCTAGGCTAATTTAAGTCAGTATAGCTCCGTTCGAGTCACTGGAGCTATACAAGTTTACACCAGCTAAGGATCCAACCCTAGAAATATACAGTCCTCTAGCACTGCTGCCTATTCATATCAGAATTAACTATGAATAGGGAGGGACACACTGCTTCAAACCAGCCAGAACCCTGGCTCAAACCTCAAAGCAAACCCAAATCCAATCACTGAGGTTCAGCAAAGTGTTAACTCTTTACATTATCATTCGCTTCTGCTGGTTTTGGATCCACACATGCCCAGGAGTCGACATGCCATAATACCACTAAAGTTTTTGGTCCAACCAGTAACAAGAAGTTATTACAGAAGTGCCAGTTAGTATCTCTGTAGTTAGGGTTGTGTTGATCTTCACACTTCTAGCAGGTCTAAAAACCCTTGGATTCACAGTTTAAAATCAGATGCTAATATTTTTCCCTTTGAATAAAAGAATCCTTTGCACTGAAATCTGTCATGTTTTCAGCACACAGGGGAATTATTTTGGGAAGTGTATTAATTTTAAAGTGCGACCGTACCTGAGCATAGGAAAAAGTGTTTGTTAGGCTTTAATAACACTTTTCACGCTGCTTTGTGCATAAATAACTCAAAAAATTCTTAATTTTAAAGCCTCAAGTTGGTCCTGTAGCTAGTTCTCACTGGAGAATGCTTGCTTTGCTGAAGCTGAGGAACAATGGTAATGAAGAGGTGGTAACTGTCTGAATCAGTAAGGAAAATAGGTACAGTGCATTTCCAATAAGCTGTTTTCATACACGCACAAAGTACAGGGATCCATATATACCATATACCCACTCTCATATCCAGATACCCACTAGCAGATCGTCAGTCTCAGCTCCAGCCCCACAGCTCACTTTTATTTCCCACTGAGCTGTGTTTTTTTTTATTTTGCAACCAAATTTCAGATGTTTTGGGGACTTTTGCCTCCCTGTACACGCCAGCCTCCTGAACACACATGCGAACAAGGTGACTCCTGAGACAGTCAGACCTTATCAGCTCCTTCTAGTCCACTGTCACTTGAAAGAGGACTCTAGAGTTTTATTTTCCTATCTGCCCCATCTGACCCAAAGTCAAGTTGTGCGCACAATTTAGGATGCACCGCCCCGGAGCGTATAAAGGCTGGATTTGCTAAATCACATATTCAGACTTTCATGGAACAGTGAATAAGTAGGGTGCCATTTTGTCTTCTTTT